ATTGTCTTCGATATTAATTGATTATTTAAAAAAACAGAAAAAATATAAAATTTCCTCTCTTTAAGGTCTAATCGTCGTCGATTACATCAAAATATATATCAATTATTCATTTTCTCGTATTGATATTTACTTTTCATTGGTTAATTGGATGAATGGATATAAGTATCTGAAGAAGAGTAGCTGTCATGTCTTGCTTAGAAAATGATACCTTCTGTGATTTAACATTATCTCGAGGGGAATAAGTTCAAAGAAAAATTTCTTTTTTTTGTTTTGTGTTGTACATACATTGAACAATTAACGTTCTGTGGTAATTAGAATTCCGACCCATCAGAATCTTCTCATATATAAAGCTGTTATAAGTCGCCCTCATCCTCTCCTATCTTCACTTGTAACATGAAATAAAATTTAAAAAAGTTGAGTTTCATTTATTGGAACGTCTGCTCCATTTTAATTAGCTTACGTCTTGTTGAATTTGACGATCAAAATACGATTTTTTTGTTGAGCATTTCGCCGTTAGACAATTTCGATAATCAAAACAAAATTTTTCCTTAATTTAAATTTACATAGGTCATTTTTTGCGTGTAAACAAATTCAAGTTTAGGTCGTTTTCTCATAAAAATGGTGTTTTTGTTATATTGATGTGAAACTCTATTAAAAAGAAAAGTTCATATTAATGTTCTTATTTTATTGATAAACCTATAGAAGTTATGCTCTTTTATCTTGTATATGACATTCTATTTTGTGCATAAAAATTATGAACTAGGTTGATATCGTGTCATGAAAAACTAATTGTCAACTTCTTTTTTATCGTAACAACAGACAACGAAAAACATAGCGAAAATAATTTGACTCGAAAATCTTAATGATTCGACTCGAAACAATTTCGAAATGACTCAAACTCGACTCGACTCGACTCAAAACATGGCTTGATTCGCCCAGCCCTGCTTAAGATTATATCTTCTTTAAGAACTAAAAGAATGCTTTTTTTTCTCTGTCGTGAGTTAAGAAACACAAGATTTTGATCTAGTTAGATGGTCATTTTCAATTTTTCTAATCTCAAAATGAGCCAAGACAAATAAATATGCGTATTTTATGTAAGAAAATGTTCATATCTTTTCAGGCTAAATTTATTCTTATTGATTTTACCATGTTTAGACAGACTGTTGTTGTGATTTGTATGAAAATTCTTTTAAATTTTCTAAAAATGATTTCGATCGTTTTTTTCCATGATCAATAATTTCAAAAGAAACATAACACATCGTTATAGTAGATAATGATTATTTTGCAAAAGATTTTTTTCTAATCAAGTTGTTTCAATAATACTTGAACAAATTCCTATGAATATGTCCAAATATGTTAAAAAGATCAATATTTTTTTCGTTTATATACAATAGAAGAAATATTGAATTAAAAAGAATCGCTTAAATATTGTTTATTTGAATTCTTCTTTCTATTTGGAGATAATTAGTCTATATTCTGCGTTTTATGACAGTTATATTGTTAGTCAACTATTAACATAAGAAGCGAACGAAATGAAAAAGGACGAAAGAAAAACAAATCTATTTATTTCTTCATATAAAATAGTAAGATAATAGGTGTCACATGAAATAGATATATATTAGTCGAGGGTGTTTGACTAAAAATTAAAGTAGAAAAAAAAAACGACAGAAGAATATAGACATATAAATAGTGCATCCAACTGTTATTTGGACGAAAAGAAAATTCGATCGATTTGTTTTCCGTCTATCGTTAATTTGTTGTTAATGTAGTGATATGGTATAATAGTTGAAAAAGAAATATTAAATTTTTAATAATAAACACGATAAAAACATTAAGATATAGATGATAAACAAGAAGAACATAGAATTGTTAATCTTGATAGATCTATCGTATGGAGAAATATGTTGAACATGATCGATCTTTGAAGAAAATATAGTCTACAAGGTTTAAATAAAACAGAAAAACAAAGAATTATTTATTTTTATAATATATTATTTATTTCGATGGATCCAGTTTGTTTCGTGTTCTATTAGAAGATCTAAATCAATAGTTAACAAAAGATTTTTTTTTGTTTTTTTAAATAATTATTTTTTGTTTTTTTAAATAATTATTTTTTGTTTTTGTTTAGTTATTTTCTATTCAAGTTGATCATAATGATGTTTAATTAAAATCTATTGAACATATGGAATTGAATATAAATGAATATAATCCAGTAAAATATTTTCGTTTTATTTAATTTTTTCTTTTTTTTTTTGAAAGTTAATTAGAATGTTCTTATAAAAATATTTAACTCATTTAAAAAATCCAACTGTAAATTGATTAAATGATTTAATTTTTATTGAAAAAAATATTGATTTTGATAGATAAGAGATAGAATGGTTGAAGTTGAAGTACTTTTACGATGTTAAGCTATAAAAAAACGAAAAATATTTATTAAAACAAAATCAAATTAATATTTTATTGATTTAATCATGGTATTATTGTTTATTTTGGCGAAGATCATTCTTCTATTAAATATCAATGTAGTTTAAAAAAAAATTATATTTTTATTAATTGATTATCAATTTAATTGTCTTATTAGAAACAAACGAACGTTATCGACTTTTACGCATAGTACAATGTAAAATTATTTTATTTAAAATATATTAGTTTCTATCTAAATGATTAGCAATTTGATAATAGTTGAATTTTTTCTTAGGTTATATTTAGAAATATTTCTCTAATGCACTATTTAATCAAGCAAAAGTAATTGAACAAGCAAAAATAATGTTAATAATATCAGATAGACTTTATTATGAAGTTCAACAGAATTAGTATGTAAAAATAAAAGAAAAAATTTTTGTTTTTATTTAAAATAAATTAAATTTATTATTTTAGAAATTGAAAACAAACAGAAGAAAAAAGTAATGATAAATAAATAGCTGTATCATATGAGATAGAGTTAAAGCATTTCAAGTAGCTATTATTCGTCGAAATCTTACTTATGATATTTATATGAATGATCATTTTAAAAAATATTTTCATTGGAATATTAGTAATCCGTATCATATATCACACCTTATTATAAATTCAACAATTAGGTTAATCAAAACAAAAACAAAATGAAAATGTTTTATCGTTTTTTTTTACTTTTTATTTTAGACGTTTAAATGTATTTGCCTGTTTCTGATACAAATTCACCAGAATGTCGACCGATTATTGTTACATTATCAAGTTCTGATCAATTGTTCGTTTATTATTTTGAAAAAGATTCTCATATAACATATGCAATATGTTTATTTTAGTAAATAAACATTTAATGTAATATTAGCTCTTTCTTTTATTCATTCATAGAAATTTTTTTTTGTTTTTTATAGAACAAAAACAGCTGGTGAAAAGAATGTTCGATTTTTCAGTATTACTTGATCGTTGTTCAGTAATATTTCTACAATTAAAACGTCATAAAAATATCTATAGAAAATAAAAACAATATTGAGTTATATTATTAAAGTTTTTTTTCAACCCTTTGAGGACGGTCGTACATATGTATTTACTGCTAGTTTTTCAGTAGAGAAAAAATATCTTGTTTACATTATCCTGTTAGACCTATGTTGAATGTGAGGGTGAGGGTGAGAATGAGAAGGAGAGAGACTAGTTTGAGGTCACATATGAGAGAGAGAAGAATGGAGTACAGACCTGCGGAGTACTCCAAAATCTGATTCCAACTCTGTCGGAGTCGAAGTCAGAGTCGGAATCAGAAAAACGAAATTTTTCGGAGTCGGAGTCGAGTGTTTCTGAAAAAATTTTTCGGAGCCAAATCGAAGTCAAAGTCATGATTACATTTGAATAACTTTTTCTATTTCAAATAAGAGCAGCTTTACTCTTCAGCTTAACAAACAAAAAAAAAAAGAAAAGATAACAGTTGCTAAATATATTAAGAACGAGTTTCAAGGAAAAAACTCATGTTGATAACCTTTTGGCTATATCGTTCGAAAGAGCGACTACGTAATAGCATAATGTCATTAATGAAAATATATTGCAATATTATTATAAGTACTACAATTCTCTTGATGATCAATTTTCGATTTCTTGGATGTAGTACATATCGAAAACTTGTCAGTGATTATTTTTTTATTTCCACTGAACAACAAATCTACAAGAAATTTCAAATTAATCTGTTAATGATTCTTAGATTTTCCTTCACTCGTTTGTTTCTTTATCGTTAAGGGCTACATTACTATTACTGGTTGTAACTAATAGAGCATATAAGATTATTAATTATTCTATGTAATTAGAAATAATCTGTCAAAGTAATAGAAGGAAGAAAGCAAAAATCTTATAAAGTAACATAGTATTAAAACTAATAACTCATAAAAACAATATTGCCATTAGTTTATTACTAGGCATAAACTATATAAAATTATAACCAATTATCCAGTAACAGTAATAAAAAATAATACAGTAAAGCCTCTACGAGTGAGCATCTCTCTATAGTGAAAACGTCAGTTATTATTAGCGTTTTTCACGAGTCCGAAAAGGCAATATTTACTGGAAATGGACCTCTCGAAAGCGAATACCTGTTTATTAAGAACGTTTTTCCAATAGTCTTGATCGTGCTCACGTTTAGAGAGACTTGAGTGTAGTAATGTAGCAACCTTAGTATTGATTTCCGCGTGTTGTAAATTAAACAATAAAACATATTTGAGATTTCCTTTTATTGATAAAAAAATTTGGAGTTTCTCGAAGTTGGAATCGAAGTCAAAGAACAAAAATTTTTCGAGTTGGAGTCAGAGTCGGATTTCAGAATAAAAAAATCTGACTCCGCAGGTCTCTAGAGCGGAGTTATCTAATGATTGAATAGTTGAAAAATTGACTAATTGAAGATAACTGTTTCTGTCGAAGCGAGTTTTCGATTGTTTACATTATTGGATTTTTCTAGATTGTTTTCTTCTAGATTTTATTTCTAAATTTTTCTTGCAGATTTTTTGAAATATTAATTTTTCATTGAAATAAAATCCAACATGAGTAATGAAGAAAAACCAAAAGAAAAACAAGAACAAGAAGATGAAAAAGAAAAAAAAAGAAATCATTTATCCTTATTGGTTTTTTGTCAAAAATTACACCATGCAAAACAAGATGTAAGATCAAACCTATGTAAAAATTTCTTTATTAATAAACATTATTTAGAATGGAAAGCTAAAAGTACTACTTGGTGATATATATAATAGATTAGATGATGCTGAAGATGTTTTAACTGAAGGCAAAGCTAAAGGAAAATCAACTAAAGAATTAGAAGATGCAGAATATAATATAAGAAGAATTCAATTTTTTATACAAATAATAACCTATCATATATATGAAAATATTCGAAAAGAAGAAGCAACATCAAATAATGATATGGAATTTTTTGAAGATGATTATGTAGAATATGATGAAGAAGGTAATAAAGAATATGAAGAGATTCTTCAGGTAAATAATAATTTAAAATAAGAATATTCGATTTTATTTGAAAAAGATTCTATTTATTTTTTAGGCTTCTTCTTCTCATCAAAATCCAACAACATGTAGTCATAATGATACTCATGATATTCAACATCAAATTGAACGAGTAATTAAATAAAAAAATGAAAAAAATCAATGAAATTTTTGTTTTATATTTATTAGATAATGAATAATCCAGCTGAACTTCGTGAAGTAATAGATAGTTTTGTTCTACAAAGTATAACAATAAATCCTCATTTATTATCTTCAATATTACTTCGTAATCCTGTTTTATTACGTTCATTATTACATAGTAAACGAACAGCATTACAAGAACTTATGTGTAATTATGGTTATGTTTTAAGTAATCATCAAGTAAGTTTAACAAATTTATTATAATTAACTTGTTATTGTTTTCAATAGGGCATGTCATGTGCTTTCAATGGTTTACGATCTATTTATCATAATGCACAAGAATCAATTTATTCAGCAGCAGAAGAACAATTTGGTAATAATTTATTTGCACAATTATTTAATAGTAATGAGCCTATTGAAAAAACTTTTTTTTTATTCGCTACTTTTTTCTTTTCTATAGAAAATAGAACAATATCACCAACTGAAAACACTCATCCATTACCAAATCCTTGGCTACGTCGCCGTACTGCTACAGCAGCTGCACGTCTTCGTCAAACACAACAACAACAACAACCTACAAATTCAACAAATACTCAACCACAACAACAACCTACAAGTTCAACAAATACTGAATCACAACAACAACCTACAAGTTCAACGAATACTCAACAACAACAACCTACAAATTCAACAAATACTCAACCACAACAACAACCTAAAAGTTCAACAAATACTCAACAACAACAACCTACAAATTCAACAAATACTCAACCACAACAACAACCTACAAGTTCAACAAATACTCAACCACCACAACAACAACAGCAAGTAGCTGCAAGGATTTTGTCTGATACTGATAGTAGTTCAGCTCGTTTAATGTCTCCAATCATAGAAAATAATCTGTCACAATTAGTTGAAAATCATTATTTACTTGAATATGTCCTTAATGCACCATATATGCAGTCATTAATGATTTTACTTGCAGTTAATTCTGATGTATCAGGACAAATGGTTGCTAATAATCGTCAATTACGTGAACAAATCCTTAATGCTTTACCAGCTATGATGGAACAAATGAAAAATCCTCAAATACAAGCATTAATGGAAAATCAACAAGCACTTCAAGCTATTAAACATGTAGGACAAGGTTAGAAAATAACATTTATTTAAAAATAATTTATAATCATTATATATATCTGTAGGACTTCGACGATTACATGCAGCAGCACCGAATCTATTTCCAGCGTTAGTTTATTAATAAAATAATAATAATAATAATTTTTTGACTTATTTTAGTGGTAGTTTATTAACTAATCTTCATTTTGGTCTGACTAGTTTATTTTTACCAGCTGATACTGGACCTTGTTCATCATCAATAACTCAATCTACTGCATCTGATTCAATAGCTACTAGTAATACGTCATCATTAAATGATCGAAATAATAATGCAAATCTATTTGGCCAAACGTTGAATATGATGTCAAATGAAAATATTGTATATTTATTTAAATTTGTTTTTTGTTTTTTTCTGATGTTTTATCATATAGAATACATCATCTGATCAACTTTATGCTGTTCAATTAGAACAACTTGTTTCAATGGGTTTTACTAATCGTGAATCGAATTTCGAAGGTAACTGATTAAATTTTTTTTTAAATTAATCTTTTGTTTTTTCCTTTTAGTTCTTAGGGCAACAATGGGAGATGTTAATGCAGCTGTTGAATGGATTCTTTTTCTTCATTTATATTAGCTCGATTGATTGTTATCATCATATTTGTATAAAAAGAAAGAACATTTTCAATTTAAAATTATGATTATAATGAAGATAAAGATAAAACTTTTTTGTCGTTTCTTATGTTGTAAATCCTTTTTTTTTATACATTTCTATGTGTGTGTATGTACTTATTTAATTTAATGAAGAAAAGAAAAATCAAATAAAAATATTTAGTCTATAAAGGTTCAATCATTCTTTTGATTTTTGATAATCAAGACATTTAAATAGAATTCTAATTATATAAATAAAAATAAATAATTCAATTTTTTTCTAATCATTATTTAATTTTTCTAATCATTATTTAACTTACTTGCAGTGGCGTAGCCAGAAATTTTTGAGTCATGGGCCGTGTCTTAGCAAAATTATTTTGAGGGCTGGGCGGCAATGGGCAATTAAAAATTAATTGAACTATAATTTAAAAACTTATTGTCGTTATAATATCCGATGTTTTTTGAAGAGAAATTCGTCACTCTCAATTAAGAGCTAAGATCACTCGCTGTTTTATACTGTTTCATAAATGTACTATTCAACATTCAAATATATGAGTATTTTATACAAGAGGGAACACGCGTACTTCTGAGGTACAGAAGTATGCTTATTTCTCTTGATTTTATGTGTAAAAAGTATAGATAAACACAAATGGAACAAAAACTACGGTACTATAAATAAGCACAAATGAATCAAGCGATCCAAGTTTTCGTTTATCACCGGACATTTTAATACACAAAATATTCAGTACATAAATAATTGTAAATATCTGTATCAATAACTGAACTGCTCGTCATTATTCTGTTATTCAACGGCAAAAAATGCTTGCTGTTTTCTCTCATTGGCCTGCAATATCAATAATTTCTTTCATTTCTTGCATGATTGCAACGATCATTACTGTGCTTTAATTAGTGTGGGCAACAAGAAATGTTCGTCTATCTTTTTTTGTTGGCCAATAACAAACGCAAGGGGGAAAAGGCGGTACTCCAGGAGTGCATACTCCAACGATACTCCACTCGTACTCCACCGGTACTCCACTCGTACTCCATTCTACTTCACCCGTAATTTACCCTACTCCACTCATACTCCACCTGTACTCAGTCCTACTTCATCAGTACTCCACCAGTGATCCATTAGCATTTCCTTGTCATTTAGGTCCTCAAGTGCCATATTCTCGGGATACCCTTAGGTTCTCAAGGGCTATATTCTAGGATATCTTTAGATCCCCAAACTCTATATTCTGGAGATACCCTTAGGTCGTCAAGGACAATATTCTGGGGTATCCTTAGGTTCTCGAGGACTCTATTCTAGGGCACTCTTAGTTCCTCAAATGCTATATTCTGGGGATACCCTTAGGTCATCAAGGGCTATATTCTAGGGCACGCTTAGGCCCTCAAATGCTATACTCTAGAGGTACCTTTTGGTCATCAAGGGCTATATTCTGGAGAGCCGGGGGTCCTCAAGTGCCATATGCTGGGGATACCCTCAGCTCCTCAAGAACTATATTCTAGGGGTACCTTTAGATGCTCAAGTACTATATATTTGGGTACCTTTAGGTTCTCAAGGGCTATATTCTGTAGTACCCTTAGGTCCTTCAATGCTGTATTCTATAGATACCGTTAGGCCCTCAAGGGTTATAGTCTCGGTTACTATTAGGTCCTCAATCGCCATACACTGGAGATACCTACACGTTCTCAAGGGCTATACTCTAGGGGTACCAAGGGAGAAAAAACGAGAATGTCGTACTCCCGCGCACTCCTTGCACTCTCAGGCTATGTCATAACTACGTATCGGATCTTTCTACCTATTTCAAGTCTACTATTGACTCGTGTTACTAGGGATGCAACGGTGACGATCATTCACCGGTTAACCGTACGTACGGTTACCGGTCCAAGTACGATAACCGTAGGTAGTTGTCGGTTCAAACCCGTTGTCAACAAAAATAGCATTTTTTAAGAAAAGAACGATATTTTATAAAGGTTGACGAAGGTAAATCGGGGTCGAGGAATCTGAATCTGAAGTCAGTTTTTGAAAATTTTGAATTAAATTTTTTCGACAAAAGAAAGGGTTTTTAGAAAAATAATGATATTTTATAAAGGTTGACGAAAGTAAATCGGGGTCGAGGAATCTGAATCTGAAGTCGGTTTTTGAAAATTTGGAATTGAATTTTTTCGACAAAAGAAAGGGTTTTTTAGAAAAATAGTGATATCTTATAAAGGTTGACGAAAGTAAATAGAGGTCGAAGAATCCGAATCTGAAGTCGGCTTTTGAAAATTTTGAATTGAATTTTTTCGACAAAAGAAAGAGTTTTTTAGAAAATAATGATATTTTATAAAGGTTGACGGAAGTAAATAGAGGTCGAAGAATCCGAATCTGAAGTCGGCTTTTGAAAATTTTGAGTTTTAGTTTTTCACATATGATGCTTTTCAGGGATAAAGTTTTCTAGAAAAAAAGACGACTTTCAAGGAGCGGTTTAGTCTTCGGAAGAGAAAATTGAAAAGTTCAAGGATTTGATTGCAGATTCGGATTCTTCGACCTTGACTTACTTTTCGCCAACCTTCATAAGGTATCATTATTTTTCTAAAAAACCCTTTCCTTTGTCGAAAAATTCAATTCAAAATTTTCAAAAACTGACCACAGATTCAGATTCCTCGACCCCGATTTACTTTCGTCAACCTTTATAAAATATCGTTATTTTCTTAAAAAATGCTGGTTTTGTTGACAACGGGTCTGAACCGATAACTACCTACGGTTATCGGTTGACAACGAGTTTGCACCGATAACTACCTACAGTTACCGTACTTGGACCGGTAACCGTACTTACGGTTACCGTAGTGGGATCGATAACCGTACCTACGGTTATCGTAGTTGGACGGATAACTGTACCTACGGTTACCGTAGTGGCTATGTCAAATTCTGATCAATTAGAATTTCTATTGTGTACATAAAT